CGCCGTTCACTTGCAGAACGCAAGCTTCTAGAGGGCACATAAGTCTGAAGTAATGAATTTAGGTAAATGGGTGCAGAGCCAGTGGTGGTTTTGTAGGCAAACATTAATGCCTTGAATTTTATGCGAGCAGCTATTGGTAGCCAGTGCAAACTGATAAACAGAGGTGTGACGTGCGTTCTTTTCGGCTTGTTAAAAATTAATCTGGATTAATTCTATTAATTAGTTCTGGATTAATTGTAAAGGTTTGATAGAAGTGGCTGGAAGACCTGCCAAGAGAGCATTGCAATAGTCACAAATCACTGATTTCAAAGGTCTTATCTCTTCTATCCACTGTATTGCTAATAATAGTGCAATCATTTCCCCTGTATAAACTGATAACTCATCACTGATCCTTTTCCTTACTGATAAATGAAATTCTGGAACAGTAAACGCTACTCCTACCTTATTGTCTAAACTCTTTGATGCATCTGTGTAGATCTGAACATAGCTGTAGTACTCATTAATATATGTCTGCACATTATATAAATTACATTCCTTACCCTTATTTTTCTGTTCTAACAATGTAAAATCTACTGTAGCATCTGAAAGTAACCAAGGTTTTATTACAGGTAGCGGTACAGTTGGACTAACATTTAACTGATTAACTTCAAGTTCTGTTGCTTTCTGTATCACGGTCCATCCAAAACTTTTAATTTTCCTCCTGTCTTTTTCCCAACAGGGCTTTAAAGTATCTAGTGTTGGATGCTCTTGACTATGGCCTTGTAAATTAACCCAATAATTCACTGATAACTGTACCCTTCTCATTTCTAATGACATTTCCCCCATTTCAACCTGTAGTGGACTTGGACACCTCACCTCTCCAAGATATCTTGAAGGACCTATCTGAGAGATAAGACTCAAACCACTGGAGTGTAGTTCCTGATATGCCCTTTGCCAATAGGGTTGACAAGAGGATCTGGTGGTTAACCATGTCAATTATGCATAATTACATGCTAAGCCAAACCCTAAGCCGGAAGATTTGGAATCTGCTCTTGCCAGTCTTAGGGCTTCAACAACTGAGAGCAAGGCAGTCTCTGTTGAATGTCCACTTCTGAAACCAGACTGGTTGCTGTCGAGGAGGTTGTTCTGTGTGAGAAAGGCAGAGACTTGGTTGAACACAGCTCGTTCAAGTGTTTTTGCAATGAAAGGAAGAAGGGAAACCGGTCTGTAGTTCTCTAAAAGAGATGGGTTAAGGGTGGGTTTCTTAAGTAGGGGGGTTATACGAGCCTGTCTAAATGTTGAGGGAAAAACACCAGTGTGAAGGGATGTGTTAATGATGTGAGTGAGTGCAGGTACAACTGCAGGAGAAATGGCTTGAAGGAGATGAGATGGAATAGGATCAAGCAGACAAGTAGTAGGATGATTAGAAAGGATGAGTTTGTAGACTTCTGCCTCAGAGAGTGAAGAGAAGGATGTGAACGAGTGTATGTTTGCTGGTAAGATGTGCTTGACAGATTGTGGTGTGGAAAATTGTGCACTGATGGTTTTAATTGTATTAAAATTATGTATTATTACAATTCACTTATGTTAAATATTTATTTAATTTGATAATATTTCATATTAATTCAATAAGTGGGGAATAACTGTAACACTGAGATATTTGTTATGTAATTATATAATATTAACCAACTTTATTTCAAATAAAAACTCACCTCCAAGTCAAAATATCTTTGATTTATTGTCAAAGTTGAGATATTTCATGAAAAAGTTATTTTGTTTTCCTGATTGTTGCACTATGGAGAATGTCAACTGGATGATGTTGGTTTTTATGCGTTTTAAACACTTTTACACTCAAAAAACGTTCCATGGCACTACATTGGTGCCACGATAACACTTGAATTTTTTAATTTTATTATTGTATAATTTTATAATATTAACCAACTTTATTTCAAATAATAACTCACTTCCAAGTAATAATATCATTGATTTATTTATGTGGGAATGACACTTATTTTTAATGTCAAAGATGAGTTATTTTCTCCAAGTGCTCCATAATATTATTGATTTAAACCCGAAGAAATCTACTCTGTTAAATTGTCGTATTACATTTGCTTCAGTTTCCAGTGAAGTCATTATGTTTCCTTCATGGAAGATTTGTGCCTTGTTTCCTTTTTGAATGAACACTGAAACCAGAAATATATCAGGTATCAAAATTATGATCATAATGCATTATAATGAAGAATGTGGCTTTTTATTCCAGCAGAAGTGAAGGCCGTGTTGTGAGTGACTGAAGTCATGGCTTACTGGATCCAGCTTCGTTGGAGAATCTGGTTGTTGGTTCCACTGGCTCTGGATCATCTCGCTCTTGCTGAAGATCCGAAGCCCACCAGATGGCCTCTTTACCCTCAGAAGCCTGTGGTTCTGGTCTGGAACGCCCCAACAGAAGACTGCAGTCCTCGGCACAATGTCCACTTCCAGCTCGATCAATTTCAGATCGTGGCCTCTCCGAATGAAGGCTTCACCAAGCAGAACCTCACCATATTCTACAAAGACCGCCTGGGCCTGTATCCATGCTTTGAGGCCGGTGTGGCCATCAATGGTGGACTACCGCAGATCTCCAGCCTCACGCACCACCTAGAGAAGATGCCAGAAGGGATCGCGAAGTACATTCGCGACCCGTTGGCGCGAGGCCTGGCCATGATCGACTGGGAGGAATGGCGTCCGATTTGGATACGGAATTGGGATGCCAAAGACATTTACAAGAACCAGTCGCAGCGCTTAGTGGCCCAGAGAAACCCGAGCTGGACTTCAACCCAGATAAACAAAGTAGCCCAGCAGGAGTTTGAGATGTCCAGCCGTAAATTCATGCTAGAGACGTTACGGCTGGCCAAAAGCTTGCGTCCCAACCAGCTTTGGGGCTTCTACCTCTTTCCTGACTGCTACAACCACGACTACCACAACAGTCTGGAGAACTACACGGGACGCTGCCCGGATGCGGAGGTGGCCAGGAACGACCAGCTGAAATGGCTGTGGACTGAAAGCACGGCCCTGTTTCCATCCATATATATTGAGCTCTGGGTTGCGTTCGACATCCTCCGGCCGCCAGTTTGTCCGAAACCGGGTGAAGGAGGGAATGAGACTGGCATCGGTGGGAGAGGGATTGGCACGTCCTGTTTTTGTCTACAGCCGCCCTGCTTATGCCAATGAGCTGGAACTGCTGACAGAGGTGAGTTTGTAGAAATGTGCTTGATTTGCAGTGACAAAACCCAAAATTTCAGCTTATTGGCCCTTTGCTATTACTATGTGTTGGATGGAATTGTTTTTTTTTATATTTGTAGCTTTTAAAATACATTAAATTACTCTTTAAAGAGCTTTATGCTAAGTAAGGCCTTTTACAATTATTATTATTAATTTAAAACATAGATATTATTACATTTAAAATATTTACATTTAGTATTTAAATTTATTTAAATGTAGGCGGTTTGTTCTAAAGGTCCACTGATGCTCAAAGATTTGTAAAAGTGTATGGGAACAACATTTTACCACAGTTTTGGATCATTTCTGTGAAAGTACATTTAAAGCTATCCAAAGACACAGATTCTCCATAGATTTACAGCAAAAGCTTGTCTGAGTGTTGTGGATGGCAGCGGTTGCTAGGGTAGCAGAGCCTTGTAACATTTGTAAGGCAGGGCTTAGCAAATAGGGTGACCGTGATTTCACTAAGTACAGCATGTTCCTGGATCAACATCCTTGTTGATCCTGGAACAACATTCCAATTAATCAATCAGAATTGAGGGATAACTTTTCAGGAAATATCTGTTTTAGGCTTACGATCAGGGTTAGGTGCTTCTACACCCTTTTTAATCAGCTATCATTTCACACTGATTTTAGGAATAAATTATGGGTAGGGTTAGGTTTAGGGGTAGGGATTGGATTTAGTCTATATTGTTGGACATGTAACAGAATGTGCGGAAATTAAGGTTGACCTTAAAGGATGAAATATTTAATTCAACTGCCAGTGACTCTCCAGTCTGTTTGTTCAGAGGCCAGAGACGTTTTCTGAGTGTTTGCAAATAAGTCTTCTATTGTGGATAATACATGCATAACTGTGTTTAATGCCCAGGAAAAAAAAAAAAAACATCTTTAAAACAAGATATATTCATGAAGATTTTAAGGTTATATGATTCATACAGAAATGTGATTCTGCGGTGAGTTCATAACATTATTCAACCATCCTGACAGGCCCTGCAATTTTAATGAAGATTAAAGCGAGTGTATTTTGTATGGTCTTTGTGTGGTTTATCACAAAACTTTTCCTGCATAACCATCATCTCTGCTCTTTATCTCTGTTTGTGTGTGCAGGAGAACAGGAAGGGTGCTGGTCACACTTTCAGTGCCACCATCCACCACACCACACCAGCTGATTTCCTACTTTATTTCCAGTTTTAAGTTGCTGTTACAAAATTGTCCACATTCAATATTTGTGACCTTAACACATAGCTTTCAAAATGAGCTAAATTAACTCTTATATGTAAAAAAAAAAAAAATCAAGAACCAATCACTGATTCCATTATTTGTGTCTGCGCAGATGGATTTGGAGTCCACCATCGGAGAAAGTGTGGCTCTGGGTGCAGCAGGTATCGTTCTCTGGGGTGATGCTGCTTATGCCAGCAGCAATGTAAGCACTCACACACCACATTATGTCTGATTTCAATCAGAAATAGTGCTTGTTAAGAGGTTTCTATTGATGCTAGTGCTAATAATAATTATTATTTTGCTAATGGTGCTTCTATTGATCATGTTAACCCTATAAAGCCTACTGTATCATATATGTGACCCTGGACCACAAAACCAGTCTTAAGTGTCAATTTTTCGAAATTGAGATTTATACATCAGCTGAATAAATAAGCTTTCCATTGATGTGTGGTTTGTTATGATAGGACAATATTTGGTCGAGATACAACTATTTGAATATCTGGAATCTGAGGGTGCAAAAAAATC